TAAAAGCAACATACGAGTAAGCGTAGTGAAGTACAAGCATAAATGAAAAAAATGCTGAGAGCTGCAAGTGGGGGTTCCGACAGGCAGATGGACTCAGGGAGACATTCTGAAATGGGCCTGGGAAGGGTGTGGCTATAGAGGGAGTCACTGCCACTTATCTGCCACTACTCCACTGTGACTCAGGCATTACAGGACAGCACCAAAAATATCCCCCTGCACTATCCACTGCATCTAAATTCTGTCAAATTATGACAAACTTACCAAAATATAACTTCAAAATCTGTCTTCCTCTATAAGAAATTGGCTAATGATCTTGTCTAAGATTTTTTTAAATGTTTATTTTTGAGAGAGAAAGTGCAAGTGGGGAAGGGGCAGAGAGGGAGACACAGAATCTGAAGCAGGCTCCAGGCTCTGAGCTGTGGGCACAGAACCCTACATGGGGCTCAAACCCACCCAACTGTGAGATCATGACCTGAGCAAGAGTCAGATGCTTAATCAACTGAGCCACCTGGGGGCACCTTATCTAAGATTTAAGAAATCAGTAGGCTTGTCTTCCAACTTGTTCTCTTTCTTGTTATGGGTTCTATGATGCTGCAATTAACTAGGAATTTCTTCTCCCTGGGGACTCTTTATTTTGGGCCTTAGATCTTTCACAACAGTTGCTTGTGAGGTGCAGAGCACCAGCGTGGAAGGAACAGAGGTTAGTACCTCGTGGAGGATGTGATTCTTCTCAATGAGAAGTTTATCATTTATACAATGGTGAATCCCAGAAGGACATGAAAATACACATGGGATCCTAATGTTCTCTCACAGGGGTGTTGCCTACAATGTGCATCATTAGAGCCGTTGTGGACCCATTAGAGCTTTCTAAACCATTTATATCACACTAGATCACAGAACTAACTTAATAGATCGTAACTGGAAGTACCTCGGCTGGGTGCTGGCTCATTTATATTGCAACCAAAAGGCAATGCACCATAAAGTACATATTGATAAGTCTGCAATGAATAAGGCAATCACATAAAATCTCATTACTTAAAAGAAATTAAACTCACTGTGGTTTATATAGCAATATTCCTCATCCATGTCGACATCAGATAGTTCCCATGCCAGTCACAGTTAAATCTAATTTGCTGTAATCCTGGTAAATGGGAGGTAATCAACAAATCCTCAGCTCTGGCTCCAAAGCAGTACATAAGACATTTCTGAAATACATTAGTAAAGAGAGGATGGGGAGACTTCCTGCCAATAACTGACATTTGTTATGTACCAATAATATTCCCTGGGTTCTGATACTCTATTTATTGGAATTATAAATATGTACACAGTTTAAGAGATTTACAAGTCATTTCTTATTTCTTCTGTTATCCTTGCATGATTACTAAAACCAAAATTAAATCCACCCTTGTTTGAATGTGCTATTCTAAATTCTTAGCTTACTTGATCTCAGGTGAGCCTCACAACAACCTGGTGAGAAATTATTCTGCTTGCCATTTTGTAGCTAAGGAAACTGAGGTAAGAGAAGGTACATACCTCAAAAAACAAACAAACAAACAAACAAAAGAAAGAGAGAGAGGGAGAAGTTACATGCTGCCCAGTCTCACAACTGATCAAAGGCAAAGACAGAATTTATACCAGATCTGATTCTAGAGCCCAACCTCTTAACCATCTGCTTCACTGCTCTCCTAGTTGAGCCTTTTTGTATGATTGCTAATTAATTAAACGTGGATAGGAGGATAGCTCAAAATTTCTAAACAGGATCTTGGAATATTAGTCGAATTGGAAATGGAGGACTAAGTCTCTTACTTGAAGAAACATTTCAATAACAAAACGTATTTTCACTAGATGGCTGAGTTATTTGGGGTGGTTTATTTGGGCTGATTGACAGAGCCTGGAGGAAATAAGGGTTAAAGCCAGATTCCCAAGCCATCCTTTGGTTCTGCTAATATGGATCACATTACTATGTATTTAGTATCATTTTCTCTTTGGTTCCCTGGAGAAGGGATGGACACTAGGATATCTGTCCTCCTATTTTACACCTCCCAGTGTAAAATTTTACACCATACAAGTACTGTGGATCACAGTACTAAGTCACAACTACCTTCTCCCTCTGGAGTTTTTTTTGCTCTAATCCACTGAAAGACATTGACTAAGGAGCACAGTACCGAACACACAATAGGAACTAAATGAATGGTACTTATTTGGTGCTATGATATAAGCATACAGCACTGACTGGGTAAGGGATCTAATTCTGCAAAGGGTGTTAAGTTTGAGGGAGTCATTTGTGTATTTATTCCTTCTTTTCTTCCTCAATGATAAAGATGTGCTGTATGCTTTTTTAATTTTTTTTTTAATATTTATTTATTTTTGACAGAGAGAGAGAGAGAGAGCGAGCACGAGTGGGGCACAGAATCCAAAGCAGGCTCCAGGCTCTGAGCTGTCAGCACAGAGTCCGACGCGGGGCTCAAACTCACAGGCCGTGAGATCATAACCTCAGCCCAAGTCGGACGCTCAACCGACTGAGCCACCCCAGGCGCCTCTGTGCTGTATGCTTTTTAAAGATGAAAAATGTTAAGTGCTGTTCCTCTGTACCATGGATATATACACCTGCATACCAAAGGCTAATCAACTCGAGGTTTAGAAACAAATCATACGGCACATCAAATAGAATGGTGAAGTACATTATCGAAGGCTAAAAAACCCCAACTTCTCCACGTTGCGCAGCTAGCAAAAATGACGTTTAAAAGTGTGAAAATCAAGCTTAAGAAAATGCTTGTACGTAAGGAAGACAAAACTGTGGTGACTAGGTTTTGCGGGAAAAGGAAATTACCTAATCAGACTTGAAGTGAAGTTACAGCACACTTAATAGTGTCATAAGGAGAAAATAAATCCATTAATTCAACACACTTATTGAGCGCCCACTACCCGTCAAAGCACAAACCATTCACAACTACCAACTCTGCTTTCTCGGGTCTAAGCAGCTTTCCTCACTAATGACACCACTATCTCGGCTAACACCTTACCCCCCATTTTCACCGAACGCGTCATCGAACAAAGGGATGGAACAAATGGAGCCCGCCCTCTTCCACATGCCTCCCGCCTTCACGTAAATGCAAATCGAAAACTTCAAGACGCACCTACGGTGTCCCACGAGGAAAACGAAATTAAGCAGCGACTTCTTCCGCCCACGTAAAAGATGGCGTTTGAAGCGTCAACCTTCCCCGCTGCCCGGTTTCTTCCCTTCGGGGGGCGGGGTCCAGAGATATCAGGAGGTGTGTGCTTCGGAGGTGTGTGCTTTTGTTTTCCTCATCCTTTCTCCCCTCCGCTTACTTTCACAATATTCGCTGAAGATGACGAGCGAAAGATTGGGTAAAATCTACTCAGAGGAGCACCAGGCGGGAAACAACTGCGGCGTGAAGGGGTTTTCGGGGCCGGAACACGAGCGAGGAGCCGGGCCCTGGGGCGGGGCCCTGGGGCGGGGCCAGGGGCGGGGCGGGGCGGAGGCCGGGCTGCGGTTGCGGTCGCTGCGCCCGCGGCGGCTGAGTCGCTGGTGGTGGCGAGTGGGTGAGTGAGAAGCCGGCGGGCCGGCGATTGTTTGGGGTCGGGGTCCTGGGACCGTGCGGGGGCGGTCGCGGCGGCACCTATCCTCCGGGCTTGGTTGGTCCTCCCTGACCGAAACCCGGCATCAGGTTTTCCAGCTGGTGACTAGTGGAGTTGCCTCCATCCGGGCCCCCGCCTTCCCGGCAGCGGCGGCAGGGAGACCAGGGCTGCAGACCGGGCCTCTAGCCGGCTTTCCAGCCCGCAGCTCCCGAGCCGTCCCCTTTCAGGAATCCTATGTGAGACCCAGAGGGGCCCGCCGCACCACCTGCACCGCGGGTTCGAGGGAAAGGCGCCTCCGGCACTGAGAGGCCTGGTCCTGGGGAAGGCCAGGGGCGGGTGGTGCTCGGTGAACCCCAAGTCGGGGTTTCGAGAGGAGATAACTGCGGGGTGGGATGGTGGCCCGGGTTATACCACATAGCTACCCAATTCGAATCGAAGTTTCTAGAGATTGCTGATGCCTTGTAAATTTGGGGAGCGATTCTAGACTGGGCTGTGCTCCCACTGTATGGGTCATGACTTGCTTCACAGCTCCGAGGTTACACAGACTTACTTAAAGGAAGTGACCTTTGACTTGAGCATCACTTGGCTGATGGTATCTTTTGCAGAAAGAAGTGCCCTGATTACATGACTACTGTGCCCACACGGGGTCTGAGTCACCCCGTGAACTCACCAGTCTTCTGTATTCAGCAGAGGGAGGTCATGAACTTGCCCAAGAGAGATGGCCCTTTGAGAAACACTGGAGATTGCTAGCTGGGCTCTAGCAAAGTAACAGCCTGGTTGTGGCCAGTGGATAATTTTCGATTCCGACTGTTCCCATCCCTCACCTGTGATGGAAAGCAAGGGGACACAACATGTATGGCATTACTATTAATTTGTACTTTTAACTTGAAAAATACTGATACCATCTTTCTCAGGCTTAAGGAAACTTTTAACATAATGGGAAGAAATCTCACAGAAGTTAGAGTATATTATGTGAAAGCTTAATGATACAGAGTCAGAATACTTGGAATACGATGGTGTTAAATGATGCAGATACCTTTGGCCACCACCTTCCCCAAACCCTGCTGCTTTGTGAAAGCCCTCAGTTAGTTGGAAAATCACCTGGTGATGTCTGCTTTTTATACATCCAAAACAAAAATGAGAGAAATTCTAGACAACGTTGCTGATGGTGCACTAAGCCAGCACTAACCTGCTCCAGGAAACAGTGCATTGGAGCTAAAGATTTTTTTTTCCCTCTTTATAAAGTTGATAAAATAGTCTCTTTATTTGGCTCTGTTAGCAGTCCAAAATTTGCTTTGGGAGGGAAAGAAGTTAAAAAAACAAAACAAAACAAAAAAAACACAAAAAACAATGAAGACTCCTGTCTTTCAAGCCTGCCCTAGGGCCCTATGGTAATTAAGTAGTTCTAAGGAGCTGTGTGGGTTAGGCTTCCTATTATGTGAGAAACTTGGATCTGTCAGAGATAGCCTGATAGTGATATCCTACACTTCATTTCCGAGTCTTGCCTGATAAAAATTTAGAAAGTGTTGCCCACAGTCTGGTGTTAACAAACAGTTCTCTGTCATTAAAGCTGGCCTGAGCATCATCTGTTTTAGGAAGTGGGCTGGTTAAGGATCCTGCTTCTTTTCGGGCTGGGAGAAAATAAACTGAAAGCATGGTCACAAGAAATGTGAGCCTTATGATGGCACAGTTCTGATTTACAACAGCAGTGGGCCAGCCAACTTTGTAAATACCAGTGAGAGAAGAGACGGCTGATTTTTAGCAAAAGTTTAAGAAAAGCAAAGCTTCAAACCTACTACTCTGCCAGAAGTTTTACAGATGGTAATTAATCTTTATGCCTGCATATGTTGGATGATTTTCAGTAAGTATATTGGTACATCCTCATGAACCCTATTCTTTGTTTACAGGAGTGGCAAGCCACTGTGTCACCCAATTTGGATCCTGGCTTCCCTCAAAAGACTCTTATGGCTATTGCTTGATTACCTTCTGGAGTAGCCAACTACATATAGATATATAGATAAAAGACTATTGGTTTTGGCCTGATTTTTTGCAGCCACCTTTATATATATGGATTTTCCTTACCAAGGATGATGACTTTAAGTGTTAGTAAAAGTATTTTTACAGCTCTCCTAACTTTTCTTCTCTGTAACATTTCATTTCTCAAAATTATTAATTTTGACAGGATTTTAAGCTAAACAATTCAGCATGGACCTTGTCCTTTCTTTTCTTTCTAATGAGACTAGCAATGAGACTAAATGTAATTAATGGTCTGTGATAGTTGAATTTTCACAATCTGGTAAAAATCTCCCCATTCCCATAATCCAACCAGATTTTGCTCTAGGGCTCAGTTCGGTTTTAGGAAATGCTTCTATTTTCAATGTAATGATGAAATGTTTGAGGTAAAGGTTTGTTCTTATGATAATTCATCTTTTAAAAAAAATTTTTTTTAAGGTTTATTTTGGGGAGAGTGTGAGAGGGGGAGGAGCAGAGAGAGGAGGGGGGAAGACACAGAATCTGAAGCAGGCTCCAGGCTCTGAGCTGTCAGCACAGACAGGGTCTTGAACCCATGAACGTGGGATCATGACCTGCACCGAAGTCAGATGCTTAACGGACTGAGCCCGGGGTTCACATGCCCCAAATATTCACCTTTTTTATTCAAAACAGAAGAACAAAAGAAAAATGTTACAATACAATTTTGTGGCTGTTAATCCATCTCCTTGGCCTCCAGTTTGTTGTTACTAATGATGACAAATAACATCATTACAGTTTTAATTCAAATTACATTCCTGTATTCTGTCATTGTAAACTGTTGAAATTGTATCCAAAACAGTAGATATTGTAAATAAACTAGACAGTGTATGTCCAGTATAGTCTTTTGAGACTATTAAGTTGATATGACACATTAAAAAGTAAACATTGCCTAAATGAATTACGGAACTAAAAGATACATACATAAACTGCCTATTTGTTAAATCATTTCTACACATGCATACAATAAAGTGTTTTTGCAAAGATCCGTATACCTATCCTTGACATGCATGATAAAAATGCTCGTCTAATACTCTAAAAATAGAAGCTACTGCTTTTCAACAGTGTCTGAACTCTTGACAAGATGCAGATAAAATTCTTTAAGTAAATGAATTGTAGTTACAGATCAAATGTACCTCCCAAAGCAGTCCTGCAATCAAAGATAGGTATATCATAACTAACCTATTAATTGCTATCCTTTATCATTATGATGAACACATTCCACAATTTTAGACTTGCTTAAATTGTTCTTTTGGTTTAAATGGTTTCTTATGGTTCTTTTCATTTTGGGTCTTTAAATATATGCATTCAATTGTTTTTAAAGATTTTGTTTTTAGGGGCGCCTGGGTGGCTCAGTTGGTTGGGCAACTGACTTCGGCTCAGGTTATGATCTCACAGATCATGAGTTCGAGCCCCACATCGGGCTCTGTGCTGACAGCTCAGAGCCTGGAGCCTACTTCGCATTCTGTGCCTCCCCCTCTCTCTACCGCTCCCCTGCTCACGCTCTGTGTCTCTCTGTCTCTCAATAATAAATAAATGTTAAAAAAAAAAAAAAAGATTTTGTTTTTAAGTAATTTCTTTACCTGGGATTCAGACCCATAACCTCAAGATCAAAAGTCACATGCTCCACCAACTGAGCCAGCCAGGTGCCCCTCAGTTTTAATATTAGGCAAAGAATTATTCATTTTACACTAATATCACATAGAGTATATACCTTAAGAGTGTTATATTTCAGTGGGTTAAGATGTATGAGACCTCGATTCTTGCCTGACTCTGTGACCTTGGGCAGTTTGCTTTTGTCTCTGTGTGTATTATCTCAGTGGTTTGAAAGGCTTGGCCAGTATCCCATCCAGTCACTGTGCTCTTTACATGTTCTAAATAACTAAAGTTTTTTTTTTATTTTTATTTTAGCCATTTAGCATAGAACTCTCTTTGTAATGAACTCAGTGCAATGCTACGCTGCTTCCTTAAATTTAAGTAGCATATTAAATGTATTTATCTTCCTCTTGATGTTTCAGTGTCATGTTAAACACTGAATTGGGCTTTAGTACCCTAAGAACTTGTTGAGAATAACAGGACTTTTTGCTCATTTTTGTTATGGTCCCAGATTGTTGTGTTTTTGTTTCTTGTTTGCTTTCCTTCCTCCCTTCTTCCCTGGCCCGGCCCCCCCCCCCCCCACCTCCAACACCTTTAGGATGTTTTTATTGACAGGTGTCTTTACTTGTTTCTAAGACTGCCATAACAAAGTACCACAAACTGGGTAATATAAAACAACAACAGTTTATTCTCACAGTTTTGGAAGCTGGAAGCCCAAAATAAGGTGTCTGTAGGGACATGCTCCTCTGAAGGCTGTAGGGAAGTATCCTTCCTTGCCCCTTAGCTCATAGCAGTTACCAGCCATGTTTGGCTTTCCTTGGCTTGTAGCCATATCACTCCAATTCCTACATCTGTCTTTACACAACCCCATTTCCTCTTTGTCTGTGTGTCTCTAAATCTTTCTCTCTAAGGACACCAATCATTGGATTAGGATCCACCCTCATCCAATATGACCCCATCTTAATTTGATTACATTTATTTTCAAATAAGGTCACACTCACAAATACAGAGGGGTAGGACTTGAACATATATTTTGTGGCAGACATGGTTCAACCCACAACAAGTGTGGTGGTCTGTAGCAGAACCCTCCCCTGCCCAATTTGCTCCTCTTTAGTTGCTGTGGTTTAAGGAGCAAATATCCAGTGATAATAGAATTGCACATAGACTAGATATTTGGGAACAGTGAGAGTCTATTCCATGAGCTGTAGTGTATAGTATTTCATATTAATGTTCAAAGGCCCTTTTTTTTAGGTCATTATTATTTTGGATATCTAAGTATATTCTCTGAATATAGGTGACAATTTACTATGTATCAAGGTTATCATATTCACAAGCATTTAATGTGCACTTGCCATGCTAGCTGGTGGGACATGTTTTCAAATCCTTTTTGACTGAAGAGGAGAAAACCACATAGGCCATCATTTGAGTTTCTGAGCTATGACTTTAAAATTGCTGAACCTAATTATTGATTTTGTATGTCATTGTTTAGATATCCCTGGAGCATTTGGATAATGTGATAGTTGGGATGCAGTGATGTCGAATCTCTGTCCACCACCATCTCCAGCTGTTGCCAAGACAGAGATTGCTCTAAGTGGTGAATCACCTCTATTAGCAGCTACCTTTGCTTACTGGGACAATATTCTTGGTCCTAGAGTAAGACACATTTGGGCTCCTAAGACAGAACAGCTACTTCTCAGCGATGGAGAAATAACTTTTCTTGCCAACCACACCTTAAATGGAGAAATCCTCCGAAATGCAGAGAGTGGGGCTATAGATGTGAAGTTTTTTGTCCTTTCTGAAAAAGGAGTCATTATTGTTTCATTGATCTTTGATGGAAACTGGAATGGAGATAGGAGCACATATGGTCTATCAATTATACTTCCACAGACCGAACTTAGCTTCTACCTCCCGCTTCACAGAGTGTGTGTTGATAGACTAACACATATTATCAGAAAAGGAAGGATATGGATGCACAAGGTGAGTGATTTTTGAGCGTATTAATCATGCTAATCTAGCCATTGAATGTTTCTCTTCTGATACATTTATATCTAATTTTTAGAAATTCTATGCAATTAATTTCAAGCAGTAGCTATTATTTCCATCTGCCCTATTAAATTTTTTTTTAATGTTTATTTGTTTTTGAGAGAGAGAAAGAGACAGAGCATGAACAGAGGAGGGGCAGAGAGAGATGGAGACACAGAATCTAAAGCAGGCTCAAGGCTCTGAGCCATCAGCACAGAGCTCGACACGGGGCTTGAACCCACAAGCCATGAGATCATGACATGAGCTGAAGTCCGATGCTTAACCCACTGAGCCACCCAGGTGCCCCTGCATCTGCCCTATTAGATAGATAGGTCTAGTAGTCTGATGTCAGTGATCTTCATAATAACCCTTAAAGGCAGGGGATGATAGCTCTCTGTTATAAGTAAAAAGCTAAAACAGAGAAATTAAGAATATTGTAATAAGTTTTAGAGTATGGGTTTGTCTTGGGAACCTTTAACCATAAAACCTTTTTTTCTTTTTGCGTTGCATGACCCTGTTTTTCACTTAGTACTTTGTGTAGGTACAAGCAGTTCAAAACAAGTGTTTCATAAGCAGCTCGCCATGTAGCCTTTGGTCTCTTTAACTTTACCAAGTTCTGAAATTTGTAAAATGAGATTGGACGAAATGGTTTGTAGGAGATGCTCCTTTTAATTTTGCAGATTGAGCCAGAGGAAATTACTGTCATCTCCTAAATCCTGCAGTTTAATATTTAGTGGTATTTATATTTTCGTGTATTTTTGGCAGATCCGAAGAACAAGTTTAACTCTCTTCTGCTCTACGGTTTTGATACTAATGTGGAAGTCTGTTAAAGCATTATTAATCTTCCAAGGCTTTTACCAAATAGTGAAGAGAAATAGCGTCTTTCAAAAGAATAGTGTTTTACTATGTTTGCATACATGTTTTCTTATTTTAAATGTTTATGAAAATCATTTAAAATCAGGAAGCCCCAGATTCAACTTGATCTTATTTAATTTGAAAAGTACAAATCATTAGTTTCCTTTGTGAAACTATGCAGATGTTACATTGAATGTTTTCTGACAACTTATCTTTTTTTAACTACAGAAAAAAGGGTGTTTTTATTTTATTTTGTATTGTTTATAAGAGAAGGAATTTGTTGGATTAATTTCCTGCCCCCTCCCTTTTTTTCCTGCCCTAATGTGGAAAGTATTTTTCCCATGAACTAAATTACACAACAGCATGTCTACCATTTAACTGTATAGTGAAACTAAACAAGTATCAAGATTTTTTTTTAATTTTAACTTTAATAAATTTTCTCTTGCTTAGGAAAGGCAAGAAAATGTCCAGAAAATAGTCTTAGAAGGCACAGAAAGAATGGAAGATCAGGTAAGATACAGAATGCTTGCTATCAAAAAGTACAACCTCATGACATGTACTATATAAGGCTGAGGGCTACTTTTCTTTTTTCTTTTTTTTTTTAATTTTTTTTTTAATGTTTATAAATTTTTGAGAAAGAGAGACAATGTGAGCAGAGGAGGGGCAGAGAGAGTGGGAGACCCAGAATCCGAAGCAGGCTCCAGGCTTTGAGCTGTCAGCATAGATGCAGGCTTGAACTCATGAACCACAGGATCATGACCTAAGCTGAAGTCAGACACTTAACTGACTGAGCCACCCAGGTACCCCTGAGGGCTACTTTTCTTAAGGCCTTGAAGCCATACTATTTTGACAGAGTGAATCTGAAAATGAACAGAGCCTTTGTGGAAATATATGGAATAAACTAAATGAAAATTTCCATATCTTAGATCTGAAGAGTTAAATAAGTGGAGAATAATAGCAATTTTGCTACCTTTTTTCTGTTTGTATAGAGTAAGTTTTGAATAACTTGTTCATACTAAAAATTTTAAGTTTTATATGAGATTTTCTTTAAGGCGTTGCTTCTCAGACATTTCCACAGAAGTTATAACAGGAGGGAAGTGAGTATACTCCTAAGATATCTGGGGGTACAGGCACAGTTCTAAGCATAATATTTATTTGAAGTCTCACATTGTATTTTTAAAAGTCATGCAGTTTATATTTTATATCTATTTAATATTGCAGTCTGCCAGTGATATTCCTCACCTTCTTCTGGTAATAAGTCTCTAGGGAAGCATGCCATGTTTATCCCATGGCTTTTAATGTCCTTAGGGCACAGGCACCAGTATTTGAGATATTTGATTGCGAGGGTACACTTTCCCTTATGGAAATTAAATGCAAACCATTTTAGTGCAGGGCAGAGATGTTCTGAAGGGGAATCTCTAATGGAGAAAGGGTTCTTTGCTTTTACTCCCATTGCTGCTGGCTGGCCACCCTCAGTGTTCCTTCTGTTTGAACTCCAGTCTGTGGCTGGATTGTCCTTACTGTGGTTTTCCTTAGCATACCTAAGACATAATAGTACTTTGAACAGTAACTTTTCTAAAATTTTGAATATGTAGGGACTTAAACCAGGAAAATACAAAACCCTGTAGAATGACCTACTTTACAAAATTGTTATGTCTGTACTTTTGTAAATAGCTTCCCAGGCCAGAGGAGAGGTAATCCTGGGGAAAGATCTGACACTTAGAAGATGTTTCCGTTTACCCAGAAGAGCCTGGCCTTTACTTACTGGTAATGAGCAGGGTGCCAAGTACTGGGGGGACTTTTACCAACCTGTAGATGTACCTGCTAGTTATGGAGTAGTTAGTAGGGTTTCCTCAAGATAAAGATATTTAGGACCCAGTAAAATTCTACTTTTCCTGGGATTTTTTTTTTTCAAACTAGAAACCTATACTTAAGAAATTTACCACTGTTAATTTTTAAGTTTTGTTTCTTTTTTTTAAAGTTTATTTGTTTATAAATTTGTTTATTTATTTGCACTTTTGTTACATGCAAACACAAGTAGGGGAGGGGCAGAGATGGAGAGAGAAAGAATCCCAAGCAGGCTCCACAGTGTCAGCACAGAGCCCTATAGGGGGCTTGATCCCATGCACCAAGATCATGACCTGAGCTGAGATCCAAGTCGGATCTGAGTTGAAGTCAACCGAGTCACCCAGGTGCCCCAGTTTTATTTCTCTCTTAAGGGCTCTTCTTGAAAATGTTATTGTGTCCCTTCTGTGTATTTGGACCAAAAGAAGGTTTTTAAAGGGGAAACATTCTTCTGCTGAGAAGTTCAAGTTAGAGAAGTCAAAGGAGGAAAAGAAACTTGAGGGATTTACTTTAGAGTCTCTTCTGTGTTCAGGCTCGTAGAATTTTTTTTGTTAAGCTTTGATGAAGATATCCATTCACTTAGGATAAATATCTGAGATACGGTTTATGGCACTATATATATGCCTACACCAAAGGGAAAGTATTTTCCTACAGTTTTCCTTTCTGAAAAGAAGCTGCTTGATAACTGAATCCCTGTGAATCTCCCATCATGTGCTTAAAATGACTTTATTTTGAACAAATAAATACTATTTGGGGATGACACATGAGTCTGGAATCAATCACTGACTTCATTCAGTGCAAGTTTTGGATACTTATAGCTATCATCTGATAAAAATCACTTTATGAGGAAATCCCTTTATAGCTTGTCATTATTCTTGTTGAATTGCCTGTGTTGATTGTAATTGTAAACAAGAATTTTAAAAATTCTTTTAAAAAACAGAAACAGTGAGTGGTTATGTTTGGAGGCTACTACAGGATGAATTCTTTTTTTTTTTTTTTTTTAAATAAAACCTATATCTTGCAAGGAGGCTTAGGACTTAGCATAAAATTCCCACAGACAGCATCACATTTAAAGCCCAAGTTTCTGAAAAACTGGGTATAGTCACTCAAAAAATGACTCTTGGAATGACTGAGATTTAAAGACACATTTGAAAAGTTTGAGTAAGATAGTTTCATGAGATGTGAGTGAGGAAAAAGCTGTTAGATTGATCTTATTTATGTGTTTTGAAAACATATTTAGCTAAAATTTAACGGACATGTGACAATTTATCTACCTTTCTAAAAGTTTACGTATTCAGGATGGTCCAGAAATTTGGGGGCAGGGGTGATGGTAATGAATAAATGAGAGATCATCCATTTGAGACACTCTGTGTTTGTGATGTTCTATATTGAACTTGGAATTTCACTCTAGAAACTACAGATTTCAAAATTGCATTTTTGAAAAATAATTCAAATTTTATCTTGAATTCTAAAGGAAACTTGTCTGTTTTATTGATTGTTAACATATATGTGATGATTTCAGTTTGCATTTGAGTACTAAACCTTATTGTGAATGTAGATGTTGAGTGTTGAGTTATTTGCTGACTATTTCTAAGCCTTTTTGTGCTTGTTTTTCCTCATTTTTTTTAATGTTTATTTATTTTTGAGACAGAGACAGAGCATGAGCAGGGGAGGGGCAGAGATAGAGAGGGAGACACAGAATCTGAAACAGGCTCCAGGCTCTGAGATGTCAGCACAGAGCCCGACACAGGGCTCAAATCCACAAACTGTGAGATCATGACCTGAGCCGAAGTCAGATGCTTAACCAACTGAGCCATCCAGGCTCCAAGTTTTTCCTCATTTTTAAATATAAAATGCATCAATGACCTTTAATTAACAAGAATTTTTATATCTCAAATAAATATCAAAGGAAATCCTTTCTAAATTTGGCATGGCAATTTAATTATAGCATGTAACAGTAAATGATAAGCCAATGATTCCACTCTGACTAAAGAAAGTCACTCCCAGAAGGATGAAAATGAGTTTATTTATTTCTTCCTATCAAGCAAATCTTTTATTAATTTATCAATTTCTTATAAACTACTTTACTTTTATTTTTTAAATTGTGGTAAAGGACCCTCCCCTGCTAATGCTCTGTCTCTCTCTCAAAAATAAATAAACCTTAAAAAAAAAGTTTAAAAAAAAAGTGGGGGGGGGTGCCTGGGTGACTCAGTCAGTTAAGCATCCGACTTTGGCTCAGGTCATGATTTCTTGGTCTGTGCATTTGAGCCCCACGTTGGGCTCTGTGCCGACAGCTCAGAGCCTGGAGCCTGCTTTGGATTCTCTGTCTTCCTCTCTCTCTGACCCTCCCCTGCTCATGTTCTGTCTCTGTCTCTGTCTCTCTCTCAAAAATAAATAAACATTAAAAAAAGTTTAAACAAATAAATTGTGGAAAGGGACACTTAACATGAAATCTATCCTCAACAAAACTTCAAGTGTATTGTGTAATATTGCTAACTACATGTACATTATCATACAGCAGATCTCTACAGCTTCTTCATCTTGTATGACTGAAACCATATACCCATTGAACAGTAACCTCCCATTTTTCCTTCCCTCCAGCCTCTAGCAACCACCGTTCTTCTTTTGATTTCTGTGGGTTTGACTACTTAGATACCTCATATAAATGGAATAATGCACTATTTGACCTTCTGTGACTGGCATATTTCATTTAGCATAGTGTCCTCAAGATTTATCCATGTTGCGTATGACAGCATTTCCTTCTTTTTAAGGTCCGTTGTATGTATACACCAAATTTTCTTCATGCGTGCTCCCATAGATGGACATTTAGGTTGTTTCCATACCTTGGGTATTATGAATAATGCTGCATTGAACACGGAAGCACAAATATCTCTTTGAGAGCCTGTCTCCAATTCTTTTGGATAAATATACAGAAGTAGGACTTCTGGATTATATGCTAGTTCTATTTTTAATTTTTTGAAGAACCGCCAGAGTGTTTTGGATAGTCGCTGCACCATTTTATATTTCTTCCAACAGTGCACAGGGATCCAATTTCTCCATATCATCACCAATACTTGTTATTTTCTGGGTTTTCTTTTTGTTTTTGTTTTATATTGGCCATCCTAACAAGTATGAGGTGATATCTCAGTAATTGTGATTTGCATTTTCCTGATGGTGAGTGATGAAAATCAGTTTTAAAATAGTACGTACATCTTTTAGAAATGCTTTGAAATAGTAGACATGTTTGGGGCTGTATTCTAACAAGCTATTGAGTGTTTCTATCAAAGGGTGTCATTCTTGGTTTTGGTTCTTAATATTTTATTGCCCTGTTGGTCCTATACAGATTTTCCCCGCTATCCAAAAGTAGAGTGTTCCTATAGAACATTTCATACACTGAAATGGCCATAAAGTGAGGAAGCAATTACCATTAATTTACATGGAAAAGTTCTTGAGCATTCCCAGGCCCAAAACATAACCCGTCTTACACATCTCAGATACCTTAGAACACACCCTGCTAAGGAATGCACAAAATAAATCGAGACAAAGCACAGATGCTCACCACCATCCACAGCTAAGGCGGCTTGATGCTGAGATGCCTGGGATAATTCCTAGGGAAGGAGCTTGGCAGGGCCTCTCCTGCGCTCAGGCTATGTGCTGCCTCTTAGAGGGGTTCATTGCAAAATAGGTGCTCAACCCCTTTTAGCTTTTCACCTTTTTTTTTGGTGAAAGCAAAAATCCTCTTTGGATTCCTTTTGGTTACTGAAAACAGGTACTAATGTAGGTCTTTGATAAAAGCAAAGTGGTGTAACTCGAACTTTGGAAAAGCGGGGGATACCTCCATTGTGTAATTTTTTTTTTTCTGCCTCATTTTGCTTTTTTTGTACAGGGTCAGAGTATTATTCCAATGCTTACTGGCGAAGTAATTCCTGTAATGGAGCTGCTTTCATCTATGAAATCACACAGTGTTCCTGAAGAAATAGATGTAAGCCATGACTTGTATTATTAAATAAGAACAATGGTACCACCTCTTATCAATTCCCTTGAGTTCTATTACTATTATGTATATTAGTAGCATTCTAATTTTACTAGTGTGCATTTTTTGTCATACATGCTATTCCTATGAAGTATTAACCACTTTAATAACACACACATAAAATACTGAGTTTTATGGCCAAAAAGAGGCTTTTTTGGTCAGTGACAGTTGTGACAGAATTACACCTATTTAGTTTAGAAGTAGGAGAATTCCAGACCTTAAAGAAGCAGTCAGTATTTAATGCAGTACTTTTGGTAACAAAGCAGTGTACAAGTCAGTGGTGATAAACACAAGTTTACTTATATTCCATAATCTAGTTTCTTAATCACATGTTGACATTTTGAATCCCACGGTAAGAGTGCATAGAGAAATCTTTAGGAAACTGTTCCGGTTTCTTTCTGACTGTGTCATTAAGATTCGGCTCCTGATTCTGACAGCAAAGAATAGGAAGTTGTTCTCATCAAAATTGTTGTTTAACCTGCCTGACAAGTTTTCACATTTGTTCTCCTGAAAGTTTATAGAAGCACAGAGATGGCTTTATTAGGATTCTTGATGCTTAGAAATGAGGGCAATGTGTTCTGTTGAACCGAGACTTGAGAGTGTTATTTCACTGCCGTATTATAACCAGAATAACTTCTTTTTTTTTGTGGTACATTTTAGATAGCTGATACAGTTCTGAATGATGATGACATTGGTGACAGTTGTCATGAAGGCTTCCTTCTCAAGTAAGAATTTTGTTTCCTTCATAAAAGGTGGATAAAGCACATAGAAATCTTATGCTCACCAATGACATGATTTGGAAGGAAGAAAGTAATAGAATAGCTACCCAAACTATTCTAGGAACATTGTTTCATATTTGAACTATTACTTAGCTTTGTGTTATTTTTTCATTTGTTACATGTCTGTGATCTATTTGATGTTACTCTTTTTAATACTGAAAGAAGCCGAGTTTCCATAGTGCCCAGACAGAAAATCTTGTTGGTTCTGGTTTCTTGTTTTACTTCTCATTAAACCTGAAACTAAGAACAAAAGGGGTTCTTAGACCCATTTCTAATGTTGGTGGGGTTCCTCACACCAACAAACAATGCTTTAGATACCAAGTGGGTCCTACGATTTAATTCATTTCTGGCACTTTCTGCCTGGAGATAATGTCAGATTCCCCAGATTAAGGGTTCAATCCCACAAGACTGTGTCCCACCTACCCTCCAGACACTAGTCACAAGCCCAAGTTTTCACCTGTGCTTCTGACTGGCTAGATATTAGAGATCTCAACCACCCATCCTTGGACTTCAGACATCAGTAACAAGTCCAGGATGTTACCTGTTCTTTTCACCAACTGGCTATGACTATGACTCCCTCCTTGTGTTCCATTAATTTACTGGAGCAGCTCACAGAACTCAGAGAAACATTTTATTTACTGGATTACTGGTTTATTGTAAAGGATAGAATATAACATACAGATGAACATCTATATGGAAGAGATGCATAGGATAAGGTTTGGGGAAAGGGTGAAGAGCTTCCATACCATCTCTGAGCACACATCTCTCCCCAGATCTCCACGTGTTCACCAACCCAGAAGCTCTCCAAATCCCTTCCTTTTGGGTTTTCATGGAGGCTTTGTTACATAGGCATGGTTGATCAAATCATTGGCCCTTGGTGATAACTTCCATCCCCTCTCCCCTACCCAGAAGTCAGCGGGAGGGACTGAAAGTTCTAATCTTTAGTGGTTGGCTCCATTGGCAATCAGCCAATCCTTAGATGTTTTCCAAAAGTCGCTCCATTAACATAACAAAAGGCATCTTTATCTTTTCCTGCACTTAGGAAATTCTAAGTGTTATGGGAGCTGTGAGCCAGGAAATGTGGATAAAAAACAAATGCGTATTTCTTAAAATCACAGTATCACAGAACCCTTACAAATTGAATTGCATTGTGGATGCACTTAAGTTATTTAGGCCTAGAAAAGAAAATTATTTGTTATTTTTACTTATCCTTTCCATCTTATAGTAGATTTTAGAACTTAAGAGTGTGGGCTCTAAAACCAGACTTCCTGGGTTATTGCTGTGTGTAAACTGGGGCAAGATACCTGAAGCCTCTGTGCCCCCATCTCCTCATCTGTAAAATGGGAATAATAGTAGTACCTACTTAATAGGATTGTTGTAGGAATTGAGTGAGATAAATCATACCAAGCCCTTAAAACAGCACCCAGAACGTATAAGCACGTAACAGCTAATAGCTAACATTTTCTACTTCTGTCTCTTCTAAGGAAAATGTTAATGACTGTTAATGACAGTAATATCAGCCAACATTTATCCCTCTAATAAGTGCGCTCTCTGCACTTAGAATCTCATCTTCTACCTCAGTGATTCTTTATGACTGCAGATTATCGTGAAGTTTTATTTTGTTTTTGATGAGAAGTGACAGGATAAAGTATTTGCTTTTATGTCCATAGTCTTTTCCTTTAGGTTCATGATGGAAACTCAGAGGTGTGTTTTGAACCCGGAAGCTTTACGTAGTATGAATCAGAAGGACTTTAGTCCCCCTTCCACTCACTGTCAGCCGTTCATATCCTTGTTTTTAATCCCATTTGACTTTAAGTAAATCACTTAACCTCTCAACACCTCAGTTTCTTTCATTATAAAATGGTGATATTTTACTAACTGGGTTTTAAGTTCAAATGGGAGGATCTGTGTGAAAGGCCTGTGGAAAAACGTAAAGTACCGTGGAAATAAAAGGTGGCATTTTACTTACAGTTTGTCATTCATCATGTAAAGCTAGTCTGTTACTTGAAGTTCGCATGCCCTTTTTTTGTTTAGTTTGTGAAATTGCTTTACAGCCAGTGTTTTTCATCTTTTTTCTCCACCTTGCAGTGCCATTAGCTCACACCTGCAGACCTGTGGCTGTTCAGTCGTAGTAGGTAGCAGTGCAGAAAAAGTAAATAAGGTAATTTATCTTATAATCCAGCAAATAATCTCACTTCTTAATACTGCTAACATATCATGGATTGTGATTTTTTTTTTTTAATTTTTTTTTTTAACGTTTATTTTTGAGACAGAGAGAGACAGAGTATGAATGGGGGAGGGGCAGAGAGAGAGGGAGACACAGAATCGGAAGCAGGCTCCAGGCTCTGAGCCATCAGCCCAGAGCCCGACGCGGGGCTCGAACTCACGGACCGTGAGATCGTGACCTGAGCCGAAGTCGGGCGCTTAACCGACTGAGCCACCCAGGCGCCCCTCATGGATTGTGATTTAAAAGTTAGGTTGTAGTCAAGCAAAATTACTGTGACACCCTGTGCAGAAGTAAGTCGAAGTAAACTGCTTAACTAGGAAATCATTTATCAGTTTCATGTTGATAATTCATTAATAATATTCATAAATATGATACAGTTCACAGTATTGTATAAATGGTTTTGAGAATTTCTTTAAAATAAGGTATTTTTAAAAAATATTTGTCTTCTATTTTCTGATGTCACTTAATAAGTATGAAGATAACCATGTACTTGTGATACTAATTCCAAAGAAATGTTATCTAATTATTCATTTTGATTTCTTATATTATTTTCCTCCTAAATCTATTTCTTTTAGGGACCTATCACTGTTCAGTGGTCAGTGGAAGTTATGTTTTACTCAGTAACGTCTGTGACCACTTCCTTCAGTGCTCTATGAGTTACTAAAGAATTAATGAAGTTAACTTACTTTTCCAAGCGTTAGGCACTAAACTAAGGGATTTTGTACTTTACTTCACTGACTGTTAACTAGAAAGAGAGAAATTGCACATATCTATCAGTTTAAGCAAACCTGACTTCTCTTTTTATGTTTTTTTTTTTTAATTTTTTTTCAACGTTTTTATTAATTTATGGGACAGACAGAGACAGAGCATGAACGGGGGAGGGGCAGAGAGAGAGGGAGACACAGAATCGGAAACAGGCTCCAGGCTCCGAGCCATCAGCCCAGAGCCTGACGCGGGGCTTGAACTCACGGACCGTGAGATCGTGACCTGGCCGAAGTCGGACGCTCAACCGACTGCGCCACCCAGGCGCCCCTCTTTTTATGTTTTATATAGGAAATATGTTAGCAATAATTATTTCCTTGACAAATATATTTGTAATTTTTTTCTCAAGTTACCTACCCTGTATGCTTGCATGACCCTTAATTTACCAAAATTACATATTTCCATACATCCATTTGTGAAAGGTTAATGCATCTCTGTTGTTATGCTGATCTAGTGATTTATTATTACATCTGTTACCCCAAGAAGGTAACTTTTCCTGTGTCACCCAGACCCTTCAGGGTCACAGAAGGACTTCCCAGTAGCTTTCTGGAAGGAGAGAGGCTCTGTGGTTGGGGCCCTGTGTATTTTAAAACATTTTTTTCATTCCACATCCTCTTCTGGCATGATCACTTCTCTATTATCTTTTTAATCTGAGAAAACGGATGCCATCACTCTATATTGAAAGCTAGTACTTTAATCTAAAAACTCTGAATATAGTCTGAATTCCAACATACTTACATGACTTTTTACTTTTCCTAATAGAGCTATAGATCAAATCCTGTTAGAATCCTAGATTTCTAAACCCCAACCAAAGGCTTGCTTATTTTAAATCAAATTTGATAGAATTAATTCTCATTCTGTTGAAGGATTTGGACACTCCTGATATTCATTATAATGAGATTTCATATGTCGAACTGTTCAATCGAAGCCATAATTCTGCCTAATTCAACTGTATTTAGTTTTCTTATCCAAAATTGTTTATTTTCATTTGAAAAATACTTGCTGCTGGGTGGAAATAGAATTAATAATTATATTAAGTCATTAGTTCCTACTGAAATATAAAAGTTCCATGGTCAAAGAGTTGGATAAAGTATGCATATTATATCAATCACCTGGAAAGTCAATATATATTCCAATGCTAAAGGTTTTGAGATACATACATTTACCACCATTTGCCAAACTTACTTGACCACAGAATTCCTATTTTAGGCAACAACTGTTATGTCCCATGGACTACTCCAGGTGACTAAGGAAAACTTTTTTCTCAGGATGTATTTCATCGACAGTATGGTTGAAGTTTCTTTTCAGATTTCTTTCATAAGCAGACCAGTGGCCTTTTAATTTCCTATTTTAATGCTAAAATATTTTCTTTTACAGATAGTGAGAACATTATGCCTTTTTCTGACTCCAGCAGAGAGAAAATGTTCCAGATTATGTGAAGCAGAATCATCATTTAAATACGAGTCAGGGCTCTTTGTACAAGGCCTGCTAAAGGTATAGTTTCCATTTGTCACATGTGAAAGCAATTTTTTAAAATCATTTTTGACATTCTGTATAAATACACTGTGAATATTAGCATGTGGTGCATCTCATGTTTGTATGCCAAGGAGCTGACTGTTATACACAAGTCTGAGCACAGAGTATATATCTTACAGATTTATAACTAGTATGAGTGAAACAGCTTAGAGTATCTTTTTGTGTGTGTGTCTGTTTGGTTTCCTATAGCTGCCTGTCTGGCTCCAGGATTATTTGTTTTTTAATATGTGGTTGAATCTGGGGCGCCTGGGTGGCTTAGTCGGATAGGCATCTGACTTCAGCTCAGGTCCTATTCTCATGGTTCGTGCGTTCGAGCCCCGCGCGTCGGGCTCTGTGCTGACAGCTCAGAGCCTGGAGTCTGCTTCGGATTCTGTGTCTCCCTCTCTCTCTGCTCCTTCCCCGCTTGCACTCTGTCTCTCTCTCAAAAATAAATAAAACATTAAAAAATATATATGTGGTTGAATCAGATTGCACATCTAAAATAGTTACTTTGTTTTCTGAAAAGGATTTGAATTTTTGTGTTAGCATTTTTTATGTACTGTATTCATTTATTGAAAAAAAATTTAAAGCTGCTTCCTGTCTTCAAAATTGTGTATAGGATTTGAATAATTCATATATATTTTCACATGTAGGTAGCTTTAAATTATTTTACATTTTTCTTTTATTTATTTTCTTTTTCTTTTTAATTCCAGTATGGTTAACATACAGCATTATATTCGTTTCAGGTGTATAATACAGTGTTCCAGTAATTCTGTACATCCAGTGTTCATCGTGATAGGTGTACTCTTAATCCCCATCACCTATTTTACCCATTCTCCCATCCCCTTCTAATAACCATAAGTTTGTTCTCTATAGTTTTTGTTCATTTGTTTTGTTTCTTAAATTCCTCAGACGGGTGAAATCATATGGTACTTGTCTTTCTCTGACTGCTTGAATCTGCTTTTCAAGGAGCAAGGCAGATAAATGTAAATTAGAAATTGTTTTCAATAATTACAGGGAAGACAGTTTATTCATTTTATTGAAACTATCATTGATGTTTCAATTACAGTCAAAGGATGGGAGAAGGTAGATTTCCTAATGGTTATGTGATTCTCATAGCGAATGCTTTCTTGAGGATCTATGCATAGCAAAATGAAACAAAACATATTAGAAGTTGTGGCAAATAAAAATTATATTCAGCTTTTGCATTTTTAACAGTGTGCATGCTTTGAGCTCAGAATAATACAGAAACTACTTAAGGGATGTAACTATTACCGATTTGAATTTTACAAGTCTGAAGATAAGAACTTCTTTTTATCAAAAGCATGATAAGGTACTTAGTACTTTTATTTTCTCAGTACCCTCTCATTTAGTTATGTAATTTTATCCCTAAAAGGGACCTATACCAGATGCATAGAGGAAAACTTGAAACTATAATCTAATGAAAAATATTTGTTAAGAGTTTTCCATATAAGTATAAATTGTTAAGCCTTTCAGAAATATTTTAACATTCTTTGTCAAGAGCCTTAAAGATGTTCAAAAATTGGGGTGCCTGGATGGCTTAGTCACTTGAGTGTCTGACTCTTGATTTCAGCTCAGATCATGATCTGAGGGTTGTGGGATTAAGCCCTGCATCCAGTTCCACACTGAGCATGGATCCTGCTTAAGATTCTCTCTCTGTCTCTCTCTCTCTCCCCCTCCCTCTCCCCCCTCCTCCACTCAGGTGCATGCACGTGTGCAGGCACTCTCCCTCTCTCTTGCTCTCTAAAATAAAAAATAAAAATGTTCAAAGACTTAGCTTACTATCTATATTTCTGGAAATCTTAGGGAAGCAGTTATATAAGAAGAAAGATTTACTTATGAAAGTGTTTATTATAGCATTATAAGAGTGAAAAATTGAAAGTAGCCTCTATATTGTATTCATAACATATACCAGTGTTTCATACACAGATATTTGTTACATGGCAGTTGACTACCCAACTGACAATACTTGGAAAGAAGCACATTTTTTTACTTACAAAAATTATAGATTCATTGAGATTTAAAAGAACATAAGGAATAATCAAGAAGAAAATAAAAAGTTACCCATACTCTCATAATCCAATGTATTACCACCGTTAATATTTGGCATCTATCTTTCTGGTCTTTTTTTCCTCTGTATGTATCTTTTACATAGTTCCCTGTCCCTATCCCTGCATATTTTAACCTCCTCTTTCCATAATACATTATGAATATCTTTCTGTATCAACACAAATTGATAACTTCAGTTGTTCTGCAAATTCATTTTTAGTAGCTAAATAATAAGCCATTTTTTGTTTAATCAGTTCTCTTTTTGGATGCTTACTTGTTTTCTAGTGTTCACCGTTTCAGCCAGTGCTTTAGTGCACACATCACTAAAACTGTATACAATGGATCTGTTAAAGCCAGTTTTTCTGGTTAAAAAATAATTCTTCGTGTCTTTTGACATATAAGACAATGAATTTTCTTTTCATTATGACAGGATTCAACCGGAAGCTTTGTGCTCCCATTCCGGCAAGTCATGTACGCTCCCTATCCCACCACACACATAGATGTGGACGTCAACACTGTGAAGCAGATGCCACCATGTCACGAGCATATTTACAATCAGCGCAGGTACATGAGATCTGAGCTGACAGCATTCTGGAGAGCCACTTCAGAAGAAGACATGGCTCAGGATACAATCATCTATACAGATGAAAGCTTCACTCCTGATTTGTACGTAATAATGTTATTGTTAAACGGTATTGTGCAGTTGTATCTTTTATGAGTAAAATCAAGTGTGTATTTGAAAGGAATGAACTATTACTAAGAGAATTATGCTTGAAGAAAAATTTGGTTAGTCATGCCTTTTTTCTTGAATGTCTGTTTTTCTTAATGTAATTATGTTTTGCATAGAGAGATTAGATTAGTCCTTAAAAGTAAATATTTAAGGGGCACCTGGGTGGCTCAGTGGGTTAAACGTCGGGTCATGATCTGTGCTGACAGCTCAGGTCATGATCTGTGCTGACAGCTCGGAGCCTGGAGCCTGCTTCAGATTCTGTGCCTCCCTCTCTCTCTGCCCCTCCCCCTCTCATAGTCTGTCTCTCTCAAAAATAAACAAAAAAAATTTTTAAGTAAATACTTAAGTATTTACTTAACAAATATATATTGAGGCCCTAGGCACCGTAATAGGTGCTAAGGCTGGTAGTGACCAACTGGGGGCACCTTTGTGGCTCAGTCAGTTAAGCATCCGATTCTTGATTTTGGCTCAGGTCATGATCTCACAGTTCATGGGATTGAGCCCTGTTGCATTATGCACTGACAGCACAGAGCCTGCTTGGGATTCTCTCTCTCTGCTTCATCCTGCTCATGCTCTCTCTTTCTCTCTCAAAATAAATATTTAAAAAAAAATAGTGACCAACCAGATAGCCCCAACCCTTGGCATTGCTTATTAGTCTAGTGTATAAGACTCATTAGAAGGCATTTTAACTTAACTAAAGAAATAATTCTAAGTCTTTTTTTCTTGATATGTGAATATAAAATACAGTAGAACTACAAAAATACATTTACAGAGCATTCTTTTATTTGCATTTCATATTGTGTTACTCATTTTTTACCATAAAGTGTGATCACTAAATAAAAAAAGAGGAAAAGTAGTGATAAAATGTTGAAAGTGGACCTAATGAGAGGAGAAAAAATTATAAATTTGTATTATAAACCCAAGAAAATACTTAAGTTCTACATCAGGAAAAGAAATGGAGTATAGTATAATGGTTCTCTTTAATCAGTGTAAAGTACCTGGCATATATAATGTGCTCAATATATGTTAACTGTGATAATCCAGTTCTGAGTGTACAAAGCAGCAGTAAAATTGGAGCATGCAACTCTGTCCTGTGTTTCTAAGAAAGATTTTGAGCTGAGACAGGGGACATGTGGAGCACCAGTAGTGACACAGAAGATGGTGACCAAAAGCAGAGAAAAGGAACACCCATGTCCAAGGGATCCCCAGCCTCACGTGTCTCTAAAAGATGGCATCATTAGGACCCATCTTTTCTCAGCTGTGCGTGCACTGGTCTTGTTGGTTCCTTAGAAAGTTTTAAGAGAATTGGTTTAGAAAATGAATTGGTCAAGGGGCACGTGGGTGACTCCATCCGTCAAGCGTCCAACTTTTGGTTTTGACCCGGGTCATGATCTCACGGTTTGTGAGATGGAACCCCACATCCGGCTCTGCACTGACAGCACAGAGCCTGCTTGGGATTCTCTCTCTCCCTCTCTTTATGCCCCAGCCCTGCTCATTCACTCTGTCTCTTTCAAAATAAATAAAATAAACTTTCAAAAGAAAAAAGAAAGAAAATGAATTGGTCAAAATCGGAATTCCAGGTGATGACTATGTTTTCAAGTATTGGTAATTTTGGTACATGTGTAGTAATTCTCAAAATTAATCTGTGCTTTCAAGCATTTTCTTCTTAACTAAAGTGTTTAGTATTTTTTCTGCTTTGTTTTGTTTTTTTTTGTTTGTTTGTTTGTTTTGTTACTTCAGATATCCTTTTTGGGGAATTTAGTGAACTTTAGGATAGATTTACCACCTATATTTTTATTTTTATTTTTATTTTTTTAGAGAAAGTGTATGTATGCTTTTAGCATTTCTTACTCATTTTAGCCAGTTATGTTTGAATGCTTCACTGATTTGACAGATGTTGATTAGCCATCTAGTCTTATTTTTGTTGGTGATAAAATAAAAAACCATAATGTCATGAATTTTTAAAATTTGTTTACAACTCTAAGTAAATTTTCTGAGCATCAAATGGGCCCAAAATGATATTTTCTACCATTAGATTGTGTATTAACTTTTATATGTTATATATACTGTATTTTTTAGTTTCCTTTAAACAATATTATTTAATTTTAAGATATTTTTAATTTTAACTCTTTTTTTTTTCAACGTTTATTTATTTTTTTGAGACAAGCTCCGAGCTGTCGGCACAAGCCCGACGTGGGTCTCAAACTCAGACCATGAGATCATGATCTGAGCCGAAGTTGGAGCTCAACCGACTGAGCCACCCAGGCGCCCCTATTAAAAATAGTTACACTCTTGGGGCGCCTGGGTGGCTCAGTCGATTAAGCGGCCGACTTCGGCTCGGGTCATGATCTCGCGGTCCGTGAGTTCGAGCCCCGCGTCGGGCTCTGTGCTGACAGCTCAGAGCCTGGAGCCTGTTTCAGATTCTGTGTCTCCCTCTCTCTGACCCTCCCCCGTTCATGCTCTGTCTCTCTCTGTCTCAAAAATAAATAAACGTTAAAAAAAAAAAATTAAAAAAAAAATAGTTACACTCACTGCCACTACATGAAAAATCAGTCACTAGAAATATTCTTTTTTAACACTGGCTTCATCTGATTTACTTATTACTGAGATAATCAGTGAAACAGTATATTCAGAACACTAGACTTAAATAATTTAGCCTTATTCTCTCTCCAAAGCCAGAAAAGGGGTACTGTTATTACCAAATTGGACACCAGTTGGACAGCCAGTGATCACGAAAGGCTGATTTTTTTTTCTTTCTGAATTTCCTTCTTCTGTAATTTGGTATACCCATCTCCTTAACTAGGAAATTTTAGGTACTTTCCTATTTATTTATGCATACACACCTCTTTGCCAGTCTTGTCAGTTCGATGATGATCCCTACTATTTTCAGTTAAAAATTGCTTACCTTATGGTATGTTAGATATACACTATCTCAAGTGTGCACATTATCTCAAGTGTGAGTTAACGTCTTAGTTTCTTACTCCGATCATTACCAAGTAGCTTATACTTTCCTAAGTAATTGGTTCTTGTTACTTGCCTGATGATAGGTTTGTTGATGCAACTCAGTGGTCAAGATGTTCATTAATCCCATTTGAATGTTTCTTAGTGTTCACCCTTTTACCTTTTTCTTCCTGAACAGCTTATTACAAGTTATTATAAGGTTAACCTTTTATTTTATTTTGGGTTTTGATGGTAGTAATATGTGTTTATTTTTGTTGCTTTTATTTTTTTGACATGGCATGAATTGGTAATCATATTTATTAATTCTCTGAGGCTCTCAAATTTTTTTTATAAGGTGAGGGTACAAAAATAGATTGATAGGTACTTACATGCCCTTGGGACTGCTTATATCTTTAAGAGAAAAATAATTACATACTGTCTTGACAAACTCCAGTAATATGCAAGTGTATCCTTGAGTTAAAATGAATATTTATTTTATATCTCCAAATATATACATCTAATTTTTATAAATATGTTTATATGTAATATTCCATTTCTAAGAATTAATTTGACTGGAGTGAGGGATTTGGGAAAGTAGCGTTGTATAGACATTTCAACATTTGGACTGTTTTCTTTGTAGGAATATTTTTCAAGATGTCTTACACAGAGACACTCTAGTAAAAGCCTTCCTGGATCAGGTAAATGTTAAACCTAAGATTGTCAAAATGAATAGTATGACATATTATCTTTTTTAATATATACTACATTGCCTGTGCGCATGCGCTCTCTCTCGCTCTCTCTCTATATATATCTATATCATCATAGAATTAAGTTACTATCTTTTCGTAGTGTCTCATGTCTTTCCAAAGTGTCTACATGATTTTTCTTTTGAATTGTTAATGGCCATGGGCTGTATATTAACAATTAAAGATGCAGTATTCCCCAGTTAAAATAATAAATGTCTTAATTCCAACCACTAACATATAACTCCAGGTGTTTTCTTTTGGGGAGGGGAGAAAGGTTTTTATTTGCCTTAATTGGGCCAAAATATCTTTAAAACTTGTATACTTGTACTGAAATAATAACATCTTTATTGTCTTATTCTTTTCAAAAATAATCTGCTTAATTAACATTTGAAGAAAATTATAGATTACATGGGACTTATTTCTTAATATAACAGAGCTGTGTCATAATATCATTCTGGGGATCAGGCCAGGAACAGGGTCATAGAAGTAGCTTTGAAATAATGAGGTCCTTAAGTTAACTCAAAATTTTGGAACCAGATCTGTGTGGTCTGTGACATATTGCAAAGTTCAGAGATAATTCACAACCATGCAATGAATTCCATGCTTCTCAAGCTGAATAAAATCATTCTATCATTACACATGTACCCTCAACACCCCAAGAGTAGAGAGAGAGAAGAAGACCTCAAAACCCTAGCCTATAAGCGTGGCTCAACTTCTGAGAGCTTGGATTTTATTTGGAGATATGGGCAGAAAAAGTTAAGTACACATCAGGATGCAAATTACATCATGATTCTTAATAAAGTAAATAAGGATATATATTTGAGGTAGAATGCAAAATTAGAGTCCATTTTCTTTTTTTTTTTTTTAATTTTTTTTTTCAACGTTTATTTATTTTTGGGACAGAGAGAGACAGAGCATGAACAGGGGAGGGGCAGAGAGAGAGAGGGAGACACAGAATCGGAAACAGGCTCCAGGCTCTGAGCCATCAGCCCAGAGCCCGACGCGGGGCTCGAACTCACGGACCGCGAGATCGTGACCTGGCTGAAGTCGGACGCTTAACCGACTGCGCCACCCAGGCGCCCCTAGAGTCCATTTTCAAAGATAAAATAGAAAACTTCAGAAAAACATGATCGCCTCTAAATTCAGTACTTCCTGTCTGTTAGGGGCATCAGTAGGAATGGTTGTGGAAAGCTGCTCTAATGTGTGTTAGCTGCCAGACGTTGTCAACACTGTGATAGAAATATGCTGTATAAGAAGATTTGGAGCAAATTATTTATTAAAATGTTTGATTTTCCTGTAGGTCTTTCATTTGAAGCCTGGTTTATCTCTCAGGAGTACTTTCCTGGCACAGTTTCTACTCGTCCTTCACAGAAAAGCCTTGACGCTAATAAAGTATATAGAAGATGATACGTAAGTAAAGCTATATGGAATAAAAACCTTTGTGCATTGTGCTTTGTTTTGTTCCTTTTGGATGTTTTCTATATATTTTTATGTATTTATGTATTTATATGTAAAAAGGATTTTCCTTCATTATTTATAGGCAGAAGGGGAAAAAGCCCTTTAAGTCTCTTCGGAACCTGAAGATAGACCTTGATTTAACAGCAGAGGGCGACCTTAACATAATAATGGCTCTAGCTGAGAAAATTAAACCAGGCCTCCACTCATTTATCTTTGGAAGACCTTTCTATACTAGTGTACAAGAACGAGATGTTCTAATGACTTTTTAAATGTGTAACTTATTAAATATATGTTGTCACCATGATGATTGCTGCTGAAGTAGCTCAGTGGTGTGGGAAACATCATTCCCTTGGGTCATGTCCCAGACTCCTACTTGGCAGTGCAGTTAAAGTTAGTTACACTACACTTGTCACAAGTCTGTCAGGGGACGTCCGGTGCGTTGTTACAATGGATGCATCTTTTCCTAGGTGGGCTGTCTTGAGATACAGACTTATGTTTACAGTTAGAGTAAATGTTCCTGCTATCTTTTAAAGATATAATAATAAGATATGAACTTGACCACAACTACTGTTTTTGAAACTTACAATTCATGGTTTACATGTATCAAAGTGAAATCTGAGTTACTTTTCACAGATATAATACTAGTTGACTTTTCATCTCTTGGTATTCCTTGGTATGTAAGATTACTGTAATACTTTTATAATCAGCTGAAAATTAGAGCATCTGAATCATTTCAGTTCCACAAAAGGAACTTAGCTGGAACATAGGTTAAGTATTAGAAAGAATGTATTGATCAAGCAGATGTTTAATTCAAATTAATTATTAGATCCTCCTTTGTAGACTGGGTAGTCCTTAGGGTTCAATCTGTGTAGAAACATCAGTATGTGTAGTCCGGATTATGGCAAACCTGTCAGGGTATTTGTGTGTTTCTGTGTGTGTGTGTGGGTGTGTGTGTGTGTGTGTGTGTGTGTGTGTGTGTGTGTGTGTGTTGAGCTCTGTCAAAGACAATAGAGGAAATTGGATTTTATGTTTTAGTAGTTATTGCAAACTATTTAAATTAATTTTTATTATTTTTGAGCCAAATTGAAATGTGTACCTCCTGTGCCTTTTTTTTTTCTTGGAAAATATAATTACTTGGAAGAAGTTCAGATTACACTAGTCAGTCATTTTTATCTTGTTTTCCTCCTGCATAGTCTTACCCTCATTTGACAGTTGTAACTCCAAGATTATGAAATGCAATGGAGAATATACTAACTAGTAAGATCCTTTTACAGGAACAGAGAACAATATCTTGTCCTTTTCCTTTTCAAATTTCTGCCCTTACTTTTGAGGTTATTGCCAGGTCTATTTGCTTCTGCATCATGTGAGGAAAACAGGAGAAACTTTATTGATGTGCTATTTTACTAGGTGCTACTTTGGCAGAACTAAGTGGTCAATTTCTTTTGTTTCCTTAATGTCTTTGGACCATTGTGCTAGCTGTAAACTGACTAATATAATTCTTTGCTAGAACCGTTTTGACATAATAGTATATACAAGCATAAAAATTATTTTTATTTAAAACTGTGGAAGTTACACAAAAGGGAAAAGTATTTATAAGAAAGGGATAAAAGTGACAGAGCCCCTCTGCCATTGCTCACCAAATGGAACCAAAACTAACATGTTATGTTCTGAAAGGTCCTAATTACCTTTCACATCACTAATAAGAAGGGTGTAGACATCTTGATTTTTAGACACAAACCGAATGAGATGACTGGTGCTCTGTGGTGCACTCATGAAAGAATTTACAGATACCACCTTATTGCACCCCTTACTCAGTGCTTCTTATGTGATTGATTATTAAAGAGTGCTGACCGATTATTTTCTTTTGCTGGTTTATTGTACTGTTACATGGAATGCAAGTTGTACAGTGAAGTAAGTTATTAAAGCATGTGTAAACATTGTTATATATCTTTTCTCCTAGGTGGAGAATTTTGAATAAACTGTCTTTGAAATTTTGTGTCCAACATTTATTTGTTCAGAAAAGCAGTATTATGACAATGAAGACTGATTGGTTTCCTGTTTAGCTGACAGTCTGTGTTGTATCTAAATTGTTTTTTTAATTGTTGTCTCTTTTGAAAGAAAATGAATTTGAAGGTTCTACATAATGCTGGAATCTTATGTTGTTTTTATTACTTTTTTAACTTTCTGCTTAACTCCCAGGATTGCATTTTGATTTTTAAAGTCATGTATTAATATTTCAAATGTAAGGTAATGCTTGAGTAATTTTTCTAATCCTTTTCTAAGATGAAGTTATTTCTTCTAGGTGTCCAAAATGAAAACACAAGGAATCTAAATTTTGTAATCTGGATAAAAAGTGAAATTGACAGTTTTACTCTGGGGGCGGGGGGGTGAAAAAAAAAGGATTTGATAAACATAATAGTTGAGTTGGAAGTTTCCTTTAAAAGAAGGCTGATTCATTGCACGCTAAGATTCTCAAAATCGTCAAGTTCATATAATGCTGTAAAGTAAAAATGAGACAGTAACTCCTATGCTCTATTTCTGTAATGCTGCAGGTTGAGCAGGAGGGTAGTGATGGTTACTCTTAGCAAGCACTGTTTTGGTTTTGAAGTGGAATTGTACAATTGATGTTTCTCCTGTGATCTGCAGGGGATGGCCTAAAGTACCAGGACCACCCCCAGTTAATACACACTGCCCACTGGACTTTCTCAGTGTATCGTCACAACACTCTAAGGTAGCTATTATTATTTCTACTTTACAAATGAGGAAACATATCTTAAAGAAATATATGCGGCCCATGGTCATCAGCTAGTTAAGTTAGATTTCATCCTAAACAGTACATATTGCCATGCAGCACAGCACCTAATGCAGTTCCTCTGCATTGAAGGGAAGGGAAGGAAGCAAGTAGTATGGGCGTCCCAGCCCTCCGCAGTGCCCAACAGTGATTACCTGCTGGGTTGCTTGGAGAAGTTACATAACCTCTCTGAGGATCATTTTTTTAAAATATTTGAAATTGAAGGCATGATTGATACCTCCTGATTGTTACAAGAGGATTTAATGAGATTATCTAAGGTGCTTAGGTCAGTACCTGACCAGAGCTCCAGTGCTTTTTTATCTAATCTGAAAATCTCTACCTTTTAATTACCTAATTAATCATGTTTTAGAACATTTACATTTAACATGATTTTGATATGGTTTAGGTTAAATCTATCATCTTTATTTTTTTAATTTTGATCCATTTGTTCTTTGTCTTTTTTTTTCTGTTTTGTTATTTTTTATGATTCCTTTTTATGTCTTCTTGGCTTATTGTAACTCTGCTTTTAAGTGATTGTTAGTGTAGTATACTAACCTATATATACACATATATATGGATGTATATAAAGGTCTATACTATACATACATTTTTAACTTCTTTTTTTTTATTTTATTTTTTATTATTTAAAATTTACATCCAAATTAACATATAGTACAACAATGATTTCAGGAGTAGATTCTTAGTGCCCTTTACCCATTTAGCCCATCCCCCTCCCACAACCCCTCTAGTAACCCTCAGTTTGTATTCTGTATTTATGAGTCTCTTATGTTTTGTCCCCTCCCTGTTTTTATATTATTTTTGTTTCCCTTCCCTTATGTTCATCTGTTTTGTCTCTTAAACTCCTCATATGAGTGAAGTCATAGGATTTTTCTCTTTCTCTGACTGACTAATTTCACTTAGCATAATACCCTCCAGTTCCATCCACATAGTTGCAAATGGCAAGATGTCATTCTTTTTGATTGCCGAGTAATACTCCATTGTATGTATATACCGTATCTTCTTTATCCATTCATCCATAGATGGACATTTGGGCTCTTTCCATACTTTGGCTATTGTTGATATTGCTGCTATAAACATGGGGGTGCATGTGTCCCTTCGAAACAGCACACCAATATCCCTTGGATAAATACTTAGTAGTGCAATTGCTGGGTCATAGGGTAGTTCTCTATTTTTAGTTTTTTGAGGAAGCTCCATACTGTTTTCCAGAGTGGCTGCACCAGCTTGCATTCCCACATCAATGCAAAAGAGATCCTCTTTTTCCACATCCTTGCCAGGATCTTTTGTTGCCTGAGTTGTTGATGTTAGCCATTCTGACAGGTGTAAGGTGGTATCTCATTGTGGTTTTGATTTGTATTTCCCTGATGAGTGATGTTTAGCATTTTCTCATGTGTCAGTTGACCATCTGGATGTCTTTGGAGAAGTGTCTATTCATGTCTTTTGCCCATTTCTTCAGTGGATTATTTGTTTTTTGGGTGTTGAGTTTGAGAAGTTCTTTATAGATTTTGGATACTAACCCTTTATCTGATAATGTCATTTACAAATATCGTCTCCCATTCTGTTGGTTGCCTTTTAGTTTTGCTGATTGTTAACCTTTGCTGTGCAAAAGCTTTTTATTTTGATGAGGTCCCAGTAGTTCATTTTTGCTTTTGTTTCCCTTGCCTCCGGAGACGTGTTGAGTAAGAAATCGCTGCAGCCAAGATCAGAGACGTTTTTGCCTGCCTTCTCCTCGAGGATTTTGATGGTGTCCTGTCTTACATTGAGGTCTTTCAACCATTTTGAGTTTATTTTTGTGTATGGTGTAAGAAAGTGGTCCAAGTTCCTTCTTCTGCATGTCGCTGTCCAGTTTTCCCAGCACCACTTGCTGAGGAGACTGTCTTTATTCCATTGGATATTCTTTCCTGCTTTGTCAAAGATTAGTTGGCCATACATTTGTGGGTCCAATTCTGGGTTCTCTATTCTGTTCCATTGATCTGAGTGTCTGTACTTGTGCCAGTACCATACTGTCTTGATGATTACAGCTTTGTAGTGTAGCTTGAAGTCTGTGATTATGATGCCTCCTGCTTTGGTTTTCTTTTTCAAGATCGCTTTGGCTATTCGGGGTCTTTTCTGGTTCCATACAAATTTTAGGATTATTTGTTCTAGCTCTGTGAAGAATGCTAGTGTTATTTTGATAGGGATTGCATTGAGTATGTAGACTGCTTTGGGTAGTATCGACATTTTAACAATATTTGTTCTTCCTGTCCAGGAGCTTGGAATCTTTTTCCATTTTTTTGTGTCTTCTTCAATTTCTTTCATAAGCTTTCTATAGTTTTCAGTGTATAGATTTTTCACCTCTTTGGTTAGATTTATTCCTAGGTATTTTATGGGTTTTTTTTTTTTTTTTGTGCAACTGTAAATGGGATTGAATCCTTGATTTCTCTTTCTGTCACTTCATTGTTGGCATATAGGAATGCAACCAATTTCTGTGCATTGATTTTATATCCTGCAACTTTGCTGAATTCATGAATCAATTCTAGCAGTTTTTTGGTGGAATCTTTTGGGTTTTAGATAGAGAGTATCATGTCATCTGCAAAGAGTGAAAGTTTGACCTCCTCCTGGCCGATTTGGATGCCTTTTATTTCTTTGTGTTGTCTGATTGCAGAGGCTAAGACGTCCAATACTATGTTGAATAACAGTGGCAAGAGTAGACATCCCTGTGTTGTTCCTGACATTGGGGGAAAGCTCTCAGTTTTTCCCCATTGAGGATGATATTAGAGTTGGGTCATTCATATATGGCTTTTATGATCTCTAAGTATGCTCCTTCTATCCCTACTTTCTTGAGGGTTTTTATCAAGAAAGGATATTATATTTTGTCAAATGCTTTCTCTACATCTATTGAAAGGACCATATGGTTCTTGTCCTTTCTTTTATTGATGAGATGAATCACATTAATTGTTTTGTGGATATTGAACCATCCCTGCATCCCAGGTATAAATCCCATTTGGTCATGGTGAATAATTTTTTTAATGTATTGTTGGATCCTGTTGGCTAATATCCTGTTGAGGATTTTTGCATCCATGTTCATCAGGGAAATTGGTCTATAGTTCTCCTTCTTAGTGGGTTCTCTGTCTGGTTTTGGAATTAAGGTAATGCTGACTTCATAGAAAGAGTTTGGAAGTTTTCCTTCCATTTCTATTTTTTGGAACACCTTCAAGAGAAGAGGTGTTAACTTTTCCTTAAATGTTTGGTAGAATTCCCCTGGAAAGCCATCTGGCCCTGAGTCTTGTTTTTTGGCAGATTTTTGATTACTAATTCAATTTCCTTACTGGTTATGGGTCTGTTCAAATTTTCTATTTCTTCCTGTTTCAGTTTTGGTAGTATATGTTTCTAGGAATTTGTCCGTTTCTTCCAGATTGCTCATTTTATTGGCATATAATTGCTCATAATATTCTCTTATTATTGTTTTTATTTCTGCTGTGTTGGTTGTGATCTCTCCTCTTTCATTCTTGATTTTATTTATTTGGGTCCTTTCCTTTTTCTTTTTGATCAAACTGGCTACTGGTTTATCAATTTTGTTAATTCTTTCAAAGAACCAGCTCCTGGTTTCATTGATCTGTTCTACTGTTTTTTTGGTTTTGACAGCCTTAATTTCTGCTCTAATCTTTATTATTTCCTGTCTTTTGCTGGTTTTGGGTTTTATTTGCTGTTCTTTCCCAGCTCCCTAAGGCATAAGGTTAGGTTGTGTATCTGAGATCTTTCTTCCTTCTTTAGGAAGGCCTGGATTGCTATATACTTTCCTCTTATGATTGCCTTTGCTGTGTCCCAGAGGTTTTGGGTTGTGGTGTTATCATTTTCATTGACTTCCCTATACTTTTTAATTTCCTCTTTAACTGCTTGGTTAGCCCATTCATTCTTTAGTAGGATGTTCTTCAGTCTCCAAGTATTTGTTACCTTTCCAAATTTTTTCTTGTGGTTGATTTCGAGTTTCATAGTGTTGTGGTCTGAAAATATACGTGGTATGATCTCGATCTTTTTGTACTTACTTAGGATTAATTTGTGTCCCGGTATATGGTCTATTCTGGAGAACGTTCCATGTGTACTGGAGAAGAATGTGTAATCTGCTACTTTACGATGAAATGTTCTGAATATATCTGTTAAGTCCATCAGGTCCCGTGTGTCATTCAAAGCCATTGTTTCCTTG